ATTTTTTCTCGAGTTCACAACTATCCTATCTTTTAAGTTGGAACCAACAATACACACCCACAAAATTTCATTGAAATCGGTTAAGCGGTTTCGGAGATTAGCGCTCTAATTGTGCGCATCCGTTCCTCCGGTTGAAATCTTTCGCGGAAAAGTGTTCGCAACAAACAAGCGATACTTTTGGTAACGCGTTTTCAGTTACCATGCACGCGGATATCCACTTTTCCCGCATATATGGTACCGCCGAGAGGCGAAAAAACTTTGTTAGTTTTTTCGCAATTTCTTCTGTTATTTTTGTAGCTCCTAAATATGCAGCTCATCTTATTAAAAAGCAATACAATAATTAACAAGAGTAACTCCATATTTTAGGTGAATACCATGGTTCAATAANACCAACAACCACATGATCAAGTGAATTGCAGCGGAATAGCTGCGCTTGATTGTGTTAGCTTAACAAATGAAAAATGTGGGAAAAAGCAACGATAATTTACAAGGCGAACTTATTACAGTGCGTAGGCAACTGGCTGAGTCAGTGGGATCGTCGGTTCGAATCCTACTGAAAGAAGTCTGATGAGGAAATGTGGTGATTTCCGAAATAGCTATCACTTCTACCATTTTTTCAAATTATTGTTGCTTTTCCACAATAAATTTTCATTTAAAAAATGGCCTCGAGCTCATTATAAAATTGTTGAATATAATTGTTAAAAGGCCAAAAAAAAACAACAAACAAATAACTTAAGGACGAGCACACCTAAAAGTTAAGCATTCTAAAAATAGAATTATTAGCACAAACCAACAAAACCAACAACCACATGATCAAGTGAATTGCAGCGGAATAGCTGCGCTTGATTGTGTTGGCATAACAAAAATGAAAATAGTGGAAATAAGCAAACGATAATTTACAAGGCGTCTTAGCACGGTGCATAGGCAACTGGCTGAGTCAGTGGGATCGTCGGTTCGAATCCTACTGAAAGAAGTCTGATGAGGAAATGTGGTGATTTCCGAAATAGCTATCACTTCTACCATTTTTTCAAATTATTGTTGCTTTTCCACAATAAGTTTTTCATTAAAAACGGCCTCAAGCTCAATAAAAATTGTTGAAGAAAAAAAAATATTTTTTCTCGAAAA